TCTCGTTCCCTCGGGGAGCCATGGTTACATACGTAACCTAGAGACATTTCATATTAATTTAACATGTTTCATATTAATGAATACCGCTTTTTTCAGTTGTTTGTAATATAAATTTTGTGAGATTCACCGTTTGTGACAGTACTCTGATATTGTATCAAGACGCAATTTATGGCAACGTAGTTTGTCCTAAAGTACTTCACCATCAGCAACGTATTATTATTTTTTATATTTAGTAGAAGTATGTTAATTAGCCCTCAGCAAGTTTGTTTTAAACATGAAGTTCAAACTCGTATATCATAACACTAAGCAGCCCTAAAGTGTGTTGAGATGGTTTGAACTAAATGATTCTTTCAGTCGATTATTGCAGACAGAAGTCTCTCTGGAAAGCTCTGGACAGGAAAAGCATCTCTGCATCTTTGAGGACTAAAGCTCTGGAGGTCAGAGGTCGGCTGGTACCTTTCCTCTTTGCTCTTTGCTTTGCGTTTGGCATCCGGGATATCCAAGCTTTTACTGAACATGCTTTGACTGCAGCGGGAGACAAATCCAGCGAACAGTGAGTCTCTGAGCCCTGAACTAACGGCTCTAGAGAATAAAGGACAGCGTACAATATATACGTATAATACGTAAGTAAATAATAAGTATTTCTCCCATTCGTTTGTATTTCAGATAGCTTTTTTTAGAAAGACAACCCCAGATTTGAAGCGTCACATAAAGAACGGAGTTTAAAAAGGTTGAGTTGAGAAAAAAAGCGAGTGATTGGTAAACGAGAATGTGTTTTTTCTCAAGCCTCACAGCGGCGAAAGAGTTTTGTTTGCGTTACTGTTTGTCGACCTCCCCGGTACTTATAAAAAATATAAAAAAATCTTAAAAACAAAAAAGTTACAATTATAAAAATAATTTCAACTCGTCCCTTAGTTTGTGAATAAAAAGAAATTAAACTATCAGTCAGTTTAGAATAATTACGATTTTATCGAATGTTTTCTGTAAGAAGTCTCTTATGTTCAACAAGGCTGCAATTATTTGATCAAAAAAATACAGTAACAATTTCTTACTCTTTACTTTTTAAGTTATTTGGTTAATTACGTATTTATTTGATTTTACTTACCCTAAAGTTTTGAATGGTATTGTATCACAGTTTCCATAAAAATAGTAAGCAGCGCAACTTTTCATCATTGATAATAATCAGAAATGTTTCTCGAGCAGAAAATCAGTATTTTAGAATGATTTCTGAAGGATCATGTGACACGAGATTTGATCACAGAAATAAATGACATTTTATAATATATATTCACATAGGAACAGTTATTTTATATTGTAATAATATTTCACAATCTTACTGATGTTACTGTATTTTTGTTTAAATAAATGCAGCCTTGAGCATAAGAGACAGTGGAAGTCATCATGAATGTTGATGGATGGATGGAAACGGAGAATATCAGCAGTGTGTGTGTGTGTTTTCTGCACCTCTGCCCGTGTTGTGTCATGTCGATGGCTCGTCGTGCTGGTACAGGTGAACCTCCATCCGTAACGCTCAGCACCTCCATAGACTTCCTCTCCGGCCTCCTCTTCCCATGTCTGTTCAGCATGGGTGAGTCGACGCGCTTCCGCGGGGGATCTGCACACACACACACACACACACACAGAGACACACGGACACACACACACAGACAGACACACACGGACACACACAGACACACGGACACAGACACACACACACACACACAGACACAGACACACACACACACACACAC